TCAATTTTGAGGATACGGCTGCCATAATAATGGGGTAATTTTGGTACAAAAACCCAAAGTGGTTTCAAGTTGTCTCTTCTCAAAGATTGTGAAGGTGACGTCTGATATATGATTTTTCGGAATCGACCCGGATTTGGCTTAATTTGGTAGTTCTGTCGTATTTTATGCAGTTATCTATGTTTGAAGCATCTCAACCAGATAAAATTATAAATCTTTGCAATTGATTGACTGATCTCACGTTCCTGGCCAGCTCAACGTTTTTGGCAGAGCCAATCGTTACGAGACTCAAACCATTCTCAAGACCTCACATATGGTGCAGTTTTAAAACAGTTATGAAACACAAAAAAATCTTTTTTCATCTTTTTTCAGCGTCAGAAGTATTAGCAATAGAGAATATCTAGATTATTGGTATGAGCTATATTATAGACAGTTGTATTCTAACCAGATTGATGTAAGGAGTGTACATTCCAAAAGATCCCACCATCAAAGAAATGACGACGAAAGTGAAAACAGGAAATGTCCACACGCTGCAATAAGAGGAGATGCTGCCTTTAATTCCTGCTTTTTGCCCCATGTTCAGCGCTTCTGCTTTCACCTCCTTCACCATCGTTGTTTCAACTACGTTTGGATTGAAATTCAAACTCAAAATGCAAACAAGAGCGAAGGTTACCGTCATTATTCTAAAGGTGTTTCTCCATCCAAACGCATCCAAAAGAACCTGAAGTAACGGGCTTGTGTAAAGGACACCCACACTCGACCCCAAAGCTGTTATACCAACAGCTAATGAGAGTTTTTCATTGAAATATTTTCCAACTACCAAGTAGTTAGAGTTATATATGAAGCACGCTCCCAAGCCGTACACCAAACCATAGGTAGAATACATTAGACTCAGGCTATTGGCGAAGGAAGTTGCTACCAGACCTGTCACGCATAGCAATCCTCCTAAAAAACACGTTTTACGACATCCAAAGTGATCGCACAGGTATCCGGCCGGCAAACTGGCAAACCAAACCATGGCCAGGCTGATGGAACCAACCCAAGCTATTAAAAAGATGATTTTCAGTGATATTAGTTCCTTTCATTTCATTTGTATAAATATCAATACAAAACCAGCTGGATATCTTTAGGAAAAACGTACTATAACGGTTGTTGACATTTCAAGAGAAAATAATCATGTTCCTCTTCAGACAGGATTCAACAACAACCATGCCATCTGAGATAACCAGCCATGGTGTTATAGTACTTCATTAATTCCAACTTGCATCGCATCGATAAAAAATAAGTCATCTCAGCGCGGTACGTGGTTTCTTTTTAAAAAACTGGCTAAGTCTAATGTCGCGATCCCGCATCTTATCTGCGTTATGACCCAATACTAAACATCTGCGGCTTTACCACTTGGTCAAGCAAGGTCGCTTTGGTGGACATTCCATAATAAATGTTTAGAAAACCTGAATGGATCATTTCAGTTGATTTGCTACGGCACTCCATTCCTGGTTTTCCAGTATCACTTTACTAAACTGATGCAAAAGTTTTTTTACATATTATTTTTTTCGATCCGCAGCTCGTACAGCAGAAATTAATTTCGCTTGATCTTTCGTTATCAGCACAAAGCCACAAGCCTATGCTTTATACGAAAGACTCCCTCTTTGGTACTCTGCGGGGGGAGGACTCTTCAGGCTTTTAAAAATAACTTAAGGCCGGTTATTTAAACGAAAGCTGTCGAAGGCCGCAGTCATAGGCAAACAGTGGATCACAAAATTTATTTTCTAAAAGGAACAATCGTCTTCATCGTATACGACAGGTCTTCTTCGACAGTTTGCAAAAATCAATGTTTTTATTGATGAAGCGCTTGGTTTTATTGAACATGGTTTACTAGAAAAAGGGTTTGCATTGCCACAACTCCAGTAACTCTTAAAATAAAAAAAAAGAGAGAGAAAGAAAAAAGAAAGAAGCAATGTCCTGTCGCTTCCGCCGAAGCTTGTTCGTTTTATTCATACTGGTTATTTACATGATTATCTCATAATGCGCCTTCAAGCCTAAGCCAGTGTTCTGATAAGAATTAACGACAAAATCAGCGTTTAGCAAATAACTTTCCGTTACTGAAACAGATTTATCATCAGCATACCTGTCCTTTCTCTTGTGGCATTAAAGTGCCTCATCAACTCCGGGAACAAAACTCCAAAACTGAGTGTAAAACCAAGATTGATTGCATTACACACGGCCGCTGAAATACAGACGATCCATGACCACGAGCTATCTTGGAACCTTTTACCACCAAAGAAACGCTTTAGCTTTTCAAAAGCATTTTCGATGTCTTTTTCTCCAACCATTTGAGTTGGATTTTCCTGAGGTTTCGTTAAGAGAACCCACTCGAGTTACTAAATTAAGTCGGGCAAATAAATTGCGTGAACTACAAACATGCGTTCTGTATGCAAATAAAGCCATTTCTTAACCCCTAGGGGACTGAGGGGGTGGGGGTTTTTTGACTCAATTGGTGACATGACATTACTAATTAGGCCACCAAATTTTTTTAATATGGCAGAAAACAATAAAACTAACATTTTTAGAAAGAAGAGATTTTGCACTTTCATTTGGTGCAATGAACTAATACATGTGTCTTACAGAAAAAATATGAAAAATCCAGAAAGGTAATAAAACAGATTTTTTCCCCAACCGTCCTCAAATTAGAGAACAGAACTGAAGTGAAAATTTTGTCAACACAATAACTGTACACAATATCAAATTCTATATACACAGAACACTTTTCCTAGCACAAAATAAAACACTACTGTTCTTCTTTTAACCATATTTAGTTGCAAACTTGATGTCAGTCAGTAGTCTCAAAATCATTTTAGTGTTCACTTGAATCAACCTTAAACCTCGATAAGTAAATTAATGTTTTGATCAAAGGAAACATAAAATCATCTTGATCTCCTTTGAAGTGGTCTGCCTGGACCATTTCTTGGTCTGCCATGACTGTCTTTGAGTCTCTTGGGACCATTTCTACTGGGGTCATCCAAAAAGATAACTCTGCAGTGTGTGGTAGCGCTCAAAGCAAGGTGCTGGACACATACGCACTTGGCAAACTGAGCACTCATAGACTGTTTCCACTCGTTGAATATGTATTTTACAGTTTCTGTGAGTATCAGTTGCCACAGGATGGTGAAACTGCTGGCGGTCAAAGCGGACATCCTGTACTGCTACATTGCCTCCAGAAAAGTTGTTCCGTCGAAAAGAATTTCCTCCTATCAGTTCCCGCACAAGATTCTCTTTGAATTTGACAAGGGTGACT